CGCTGTGACGGTGCCGGGCTCAGCACTGCCCTGCCCGGAGCAGAACCGCGGCACACGGCGGGCACAGGCACTGCCCACAAACGGGGTTCAGAACCGACTCGTCCTGGAGCTCGAGACCTTTCTGATGCCTCCCGGAGAGAAGCTGTTTAACTGTGTTGTTCTCATCCACAGCCCTTCCTTAAACAGCTTTCATTTCCTGCAGATAGGAACCCGTTGCTTGCTAAGTAATTCTTCTGGTAGTAAAAAGCTTACGTTTAAATTTTAAATTTGATCATTAAGAAAAATAAGCAAGGAGAATTGACGGCTCCATCGTGGCTGATCTTTCCAAAGCGACGGAATTGTTACCTAATATTGCACGATGCATAATTGATGGCCGACCGCGCGGCTCCCCTTTCAAGTGCCGCGATGCATTTTGTGCTGTGTTTCCTCCCTGCCTCCCAGCTGCGTGCAGAGCGGGAACACGAGGCGCAACAGCCACCAGCGCAAGATCAATCAGCAGGAGGAGAGCTGCCAGAACCTGACGGACTTCACCCCCGCACGGGTGCCCAGCAGCCTGGACATCTTCACGGCCTACAACGAGACGCTGCAGTGCTCCCACGAGTGCGTGCGGACGCCGGTGCCGCTCTACACGGAGGAGGCGCTGCACTCACCCGGCGATTACAAAGCGGCTTTCAACGGGAACAGGTACCAGAGCTGCCTCTCGACGGGGAGCCCCGGGGGGAAGCAGGGGCAAACGGAGGATCCCCTCCTCGCCAAGAGGACGGGAAGGGCCTGGGTTGTGCTGAACACCCCAGACCCATTGCTTTGCTCCGAGTTACTTTGCTTGCTGGGGTACAACCAGAGCACGTTCTGGTTGGTCTCTTCCATCTTTCTGTGTTTTGTACAACTGTGGCTTGCAAGGCCAATAAGCCCATTCAAAGCATTTTTTTAGAGATTTTGCTTTCCACGAAAAAGCTGCTTTTTGCAGTAGGCCTGGGTAGGCTTGCTTGTTGTGTGCTATGTACCGGCCCATGCAAGCCCCTCTTTCTGCTCGCTGCAGACCCTCCTCTTCTGATCGGCACCTTATTCCTGTGGCCTTCGTGTCTGAGAAATGGTTTGAAATCTCCTGCTGACTGGCCGAAGCCTGTTCGACCTCGCGGGGGCAGGACAGACACCGTGCGGCTCTTTCCTGGTAGGTACCTACCGCGCTCAGACCTCTCCGTGACGCCCTGGTGTGCAGGGAGCCCCGTCCCTGTGCCACCCAGTGCCCTAACCCCCAGCAGGGTCTGCCCTGGGGCTGACCAGGAGCTTTCACCACACGACAACGCTCCGTGCTGGACCGTTGACTCTGTCCCAGGGCTCCCATAATTTATAAAGGTCTGGAAACCAATGGCTGGGTTCATTGCAATTAATTAATCAGAGCTGCAAAGGAATTCTCTGCACGTGCATAAGAGTCCACACATGGATGTACACACTTGTCCCCAGATATTTGGGAATATGCATCTATAATATTAGTGCTACGTCACTGTAAAGCCAGGTGATGGCCACGGATTGTGATGCAGAGAAGGGCAGCGGCATGGATAACGTGGATAACAGAGTGGCTTTCATCCCAAAGTGGCAGCACGGCAAATCCCTTAAAAGCTCTGAAAGAAATTGCTTACTATTTCCCCCATCCTGCTGTTTTGCATGCGTTTGTCTGCCCCTTCTGCACGGCGGGCGCGGGGCTTTTCCCAGGGCTCGCAGGGAGGCCGGTGCCGCGCGAGCAGATGCTGACGGTGTTTCCCGCGGTCGCGTTTGCCCCGCGCAGCCCCGTCTGTTTACGGTCCTACGTGCCGTGCGGGAGGTCCGTGGCACCGCGGTGCCCTCGAGGGCGGTGGTGGCACTCGCGGGCAGCATCTGCTCATGCTGCAGCGGAGCCCGCTGCGCCTCGGTGGCAGCCCCGGAGCGCTTCCCAGATGGAGGAGCATCACGGCCAGGCGGAGGCAGCGCGCGGCCCAGAGCGTCACCCCTCACTGCGGCCTCGCCGGCCGGC